TAGGTGTTCCCTCTCAAGAGAAGGTATATGGTTGTGCATCTGCATGTGGAGAGTGCGGGGCTTTTCAAAAATTCTCAAAAATCCTCCGATATATACATTTAATTGTTGATTATGTTTAATGAATTAGAATGCTTTATTCGTCTATTTTAAGGTCTTACTGTAATTTTTTATGATGATCTCTCTGGTTTTTACAGGACAAATGAGAATTTAGAGGTGTCCATTTAAAGCAAGAACCTCTCAAGCTTTGGCTTTTGGGACCCTCTCTGCACTGCTCATGATTATTGCTCAACCTTTTATTTAGTTTAACCTCCTTTCATATTCCGCTATGTTTGTATTAATGTAAATAAGTCTCTCATCTGCACAGTCCAATCTGTGAATCTGTTGAATGCCATGGTGATATTTTTATAAAGTGAGTCATCAATGACCATTGGTGATTGTATGTTTGTAAGTACTTTTTGATGGCTTCAGCCAGCTGTGGTTAAAGATAAGGAAAGAACTGTTTTTTTTTTTTTTTTATCCCCGTACATTCCACAGTTTTTGTAAATTGGTTGATTACTTTTTCCCCCCCGTGTGTGTGTGTGGGACTGCTATCTGTAAATAAACTGCCTGTAAAATATGAGTGCCTCACGACTGACTATAACCTGAGAGATCACACATGAAATCATTTGTTACAACTTGACTCTAGATTTAACTGTTATTTTATATTGTTTCTGCTTTTTGTAGCACTCCTCATCACCTTCATAGAATCTCTCTTTAAGATATTTATGAAAGGATTTCCCACCAGCTGATGTGTGGTTTCCAACAACATATAGCCTCAGATATGTTTTCATGAGTTACGAATGCCAGTGTCTTTGCTGTATGCCACATTTTAAAGTTTGCCTCAAAGAATTAGTAGCATCGGATGTTTGCATCTCCTGTCAGTATAACCCCTAGTTTTCACGTTAAAAACAGCATCAGATAAATTCTATGACGTTATGAAATGATTTGTAGTGTGTAAAAATCATCATATACAGCTGACGAGTGGCCATACAGATGTTTTGCATCTACTTCTGTTAAATTTAACAATGGATGTGTTTTATCTGTCTGTGCATTTACTTGATGCTAGAAGCAGTTTTCTTTCAGCCTCACAGCTGCTGCGTTCACACACAGGAAACCACATCACCTTAAGTGTATATATGATTCCCGGAATAATTAATAAAATTTGTTTTAATCTCTGTCATCGACTCCCTTAGTAAATTTATTTTGTCTACAACTTCTTCATGTTAGAAAAAACATTGAATAAATGTATAAATTTTACTCTAGTAAAATGTAGTAAAATTCTAGTAAAATTCTCCTTATATCAAAGCTATGCTTTGATATAAGGAGAAGGAAAATTGTATCTTATAAATGAAATGCGTGCAATTGCATTGATATATTGCTAAAAGAACTTCTCACATCATCATTGATAATTATCCTAACAATATCTTTGCTGTCCATTAAAAATAATCTGATTGCATCTGTGTGTAATTAAGGACCTTTTTTTTATTGCAGAGCAGTAGTGCCATGTTTTGAACTCTAGATGGTAGCAGAGTGACAGATAAGGCTTAAATAGCTGTGTAACTGAATTTCAGATGTTTTCTCATCTTTGGTTGAACTAAATCCCACCTGGAAAATGTCTTGCTAGAATCTTAGATTTTATAAAGAAAACAAATGGACACATTTATCCATGAGTTAAAAACTGTTTTCCTTCTAAAATACCAAACTAGAATCTGTTTTTTTTTTAAGATTATTTTTTAGGCCCTATTGGCCTTTATTTTTTTATTTTTTTTTTTACTTTTTGAGAGTATACAGACAGGAAAGTTGGTTAAGAGAGGGGAGAGCAAATATTAGTAAGGCCAGAACTCGAAACTGTGATAACTGGTGTATGGGTCATGCGCTCTGCTTCTGACTAGAAACATCAACTGGAAACTGTATAAATATTGAAACACAAACTGTATGTACAGTGCAAAGTACAGTTTTGCTACTTCTTGTTATACCTTCTAGTGGTTTCTCTTTACAACCAAAAATGAAATTCATTTTATTTAGGATTTAAGGCAATAAACCTGCACAAAGTAGAACTTTTTTCATACAAGACAAATCTGAAAAACAATTATGTGTGTTTTTGTATTTCAAATGCTTCAAAAACCATAAAATAAAATCTAGTCCAGCCAGCTACCTTCATAAGTCAATAAATTCAATGTATGTGTTATTCAATCTCAGTGTGTCAGAATATCTGCATTACCTGTAGGAAAATAACACAGGTCAGGAATAAAGAAGTCATTAAATTTAAACTAAGCTTGTACTGAAATGGCCATAAGAAAAACTGTTTGCAAGTTGTATCAAGCCTATTTAAGACTATACACTGTGAAAATTTAAGGCCACAGCTGAAGCTATTCCCTTCAAATACTGTGTTGTCTAAAGCTTAAACTGCAGATCACACTGAGCACACAACACAAATACATGGTGGTGGCAGCCTCATAATGTGGGGATGTATAGATAAGAAAGCTGATCGGAGTTAAAGAGACATTGAATAAAATAGAGGGCATTTCCGTCAAAAAAAACAAACAAAAAGATAAACTTAGGTCTACCAAAGACTTGAGATTTGGGTCTAGATTTTCAACTCAGGGAAAAACAACCTTTTACATTTCAGGCAAATCCGATTGGAATGGCTGGGAAGCAGTAAGGCCTAATTAAAATCTAGAGCACAATAGCATCATGTGCTTTATCTTCAGCAAGATTGTAAAAATTGCTCCTTATCAAATCAACCTGACTGAGCTATTTCACATGAGAGCTCAACTAATTCATACAGGCTAAATGCAACAACAACCTAAACCAGTTACATATTTTGCTTGTAAAGAGAGAAATAAACTAGTATCGTATTACTTTAAATTCACAATTACCGGTATGCTCTACATTGGAAGTATTTGAAATAAATTAACTTAAAAAATGCGAGGAAGTTCCAAAGTTACTCTTCTGCAAGAGTCATTGCATGATTTATAGAACATCACTTTTTTTTTTCTAAAATATTTCGAAATGTTTTATTATTTAAGGCCACTAATATGGTGGCAGATGACTGAAAAGATTTAAATAATATATATATATATATATATATATATATATATATATATATATATATATATATATATATATATATATATATATATATATATATGTATATATATGTACATTTATACATGTATATATAAAAGGGTTAATCAAATAATATCTATAAACTTTAACATCATCCTGCCCTGACAAACTATTCTTTCACTCTGGTCTTCTGGTTTAATTTACATCACAGTAAATTCCATCTGATAAAACGATTTGCTGTACAGTATATGAAGTGCATCCAGTGAGAGGAGGGGGTTTATGTGCATGCCATGTTTTTTTTTTTTTTTTTTCCTGCCTGTGTTTATGTGAGAGCTGGTTTATCTCAGCGGATCATTTGAAAGCAGTCACCCATGATTTCAGCTGAGCTTTCACTCTGATGCAGGGGGACATATAGAGCAGCTTGAGCCATTAAAATGCAAATTTTTTTCAATGCAGTTGTGATGCGAGGATAGCACTGGGACTCTACTCGTGTATCAACTTGTTTTCTGTAATTTATATGTTTATCACTAGCAGAGCAGCCCAAGACATCTGCTCTCCTAGACCTGAAGTTTGCCACTGATTATCTAATAAAGCACAAGCTGAAAACTAAGTTTCATTTTGTGTTTTTGATTGTTTGAACATTCAGATTTGAACCACAGATTTCTGAACTTTTTATTATCATTTCTTTTTACCCAAAAAACCTTAAGTTAAGTTAGTTTCAGATATGAACTGAAAGAAAAAATAATTTTTATATGCAGATTACTTAACCTTTGAATACATTTGCATGTAATGGTGAATGACTACATCCAATGACTGAATGCAGTATAAAGGGTTTTGGGATCCTTGGACCTAATAAAGTGCAAATACAAATACAGGCCATTTACCACATTTTTTTAATGACATCCAGGAAATAAATGCATCTGCATAAATGCATTGTTACGAAGTCAGGAGTTTGTATTATAAATCATACAGTGGCTTTTCTGAGTCGTCTTGTGAGCCAGATGTTAAGCAAAATATAAAAAATTAGATAGAGATCTGCTTGAAATTTTAGGCATCTGTTTGCACAGTATTAAAATCTTTGTGTGAACTCCATTGTTCTCAAATAGTAGTTTTCAGAAAGGCCAACAGATGGCAGCACACTACAAAATCAGATATCTGAGAACTAGCTCTACATTACAATGGCCACCCCAAAAATTAAATGCTTATACTGTGGACAAGTAGCAGGCTGAATATAGGTCATAATAAAAGCAAAATCCTCTTCTGGTAGGAAACCTGCTAGAGCAGAGAGCAACAATTAACTACAGCAGACTGCATGACCTCCTGCTCCAAAGCACATCATGGTCACCACAGGTTTGACAGGTAAAGGTAGTTGAATGTAATGTAATCAAATGGCTTATATTGTCTGCAGTGTTTATTCAACATGATGGAAACGTCTGGAGCCAGACTTTGCACATAAAGATTATGGCTGCACAAACACAGGGAATAATATGGAACAAAATAGTTAGGGAATTGTTTATCAAAATAACCGTCTACCCAACGGATGTTATAAAAGAAATGATTTTAAGTGAACTAGACTTATCACTAAAACTAGAATAGCAGTCATTTTCTTTATTTTGTTTTTGTAACCTTTGTAGTTTAATGAAATGCATCCATGCTTTCATCTAATTATTTAACTGTTAATAAAAAGATATCTTATCTTCTTAAACCTTGACTTATCTATTAGTTACTCTAATAACTTTGCTTTTATGACTATAAAATGAGGAATAGACATCCAAAAAAAAGGTCAAGCATGTTCAATATTTGCAACTTTCGAAAGGTTTTATCAGATGCAAAGGAAACAAAGGCTTGTTTAAATTACATAATACTACTTATACTTCAGCGATAGTATCTAGGTGTTACTTTATTGTATTTCTCGTACCATGTCCGTTGGTTGTGCTGTTCTTTTTTACATCTCTTTGCAGATGATGAAGCAGACTGAAAATGTTTTATCATTATCTCCCTTTTATCTCCTCTTTCTTTCATCTTTTCTAAAAAAAAAATTCAGTTTTTCCTTTCCTGTTCTACCTACATTGCAGTTTCCATATAATCTGTAAAACTCCCTGCATAATTATAATAAAGCTATTTATATGCGTGAAACAAGCAGAACACTATGGCGATAGTCGTACTGCTCCACTTGTGAAAGTAAAATCTGTTGGGCTCTTTTTGGCATCAAGACAATTATTCTTATTGCCACATTGCCAGACAGGACACTGTTAAGAAAAATAAAAAAATAATAAAATTTTATGAAAAAAAAGGCTTGTTTTATGGATAGTCATCCTAACAAATGTTCAGGTTTCAAATTTTGACCGTGTTTCATTTGCATGTGCAGTGTATGGTCATTTAAAAAATCATCATAATTAGTGCAAATGTAATTACATTACTAGAAAAGCTGTTCATTTAGTCAGATTTTTATGTGTGGCTTACAATCACATAATCATTTTTAAGAGCTTTAGCTTTATCTTATCTATTAATACTTGATAAAATAATCATCCTTTTTCTTAATTCCAAAATTAAAGAATTGAAATTGTACTTGTTTTTTATTAAATAGTTACAATAGAGAAAATTTTATGTAAAACTGATTGCCTTCATGTTTTATATACTGTAGAACAACACTATGATATATTTTGTGTCCGTAGCAAAGTGTTAATCATTTACTTTCTACAGATTCCTTGTCTTACAGACAATTGCTACACACTTGATACTCTCCCTGGCATACAGTACCTGTTGGCTGCCCAAAGTTTAATGGCTTGTTTTAAAAAGAAAACATGACAGTTTTTAGTAATTCCACTCAATACTAATGCTTAGCCGAATAGCGCTTTTAATGGATTTGTCATTTAAGGCCTGATCTTCAGAAGGTTTGTGTGTCTTAAAACGTGGGGCAAACATGTTTTTATGCAAAGAGCAAATCTTCAAAGCAGGTGCAAAGTGATTTGCATTTGCAATTCAACTGACAGCTTGTGCAAACCTTTTTTTACATGCATGCCTTCAACAATATGCAGATCATATTCACATTAGCAATCAAATTCATGGGTGGAGGATGTGCAAATATACATTTATTATTGATTTTCCAAA